CTATCCTTAGAATAAAAGTTAATGGTGGCAACTCTTTATTTTTTGACCGATTACGACAACAAGAAATACATCATTGCAAGTTTTTCCATCATCAAAAAGGGGGAGTATGTGAGTACAACTTCATCATTAGATATTTTGTAGATGTCAAAATTGGGAAAAGTTAACACTTATGTACATTAGACGGTATCCATATGTCTTGTGACACTCCTCTGCATTATAGGTCTTAGGAATGATTAAAAAGCATTTTGAAATTGCTCCAAGTCATTAAAACAATTTTCTGCATAATTTTTTGTTGCATGTGCTGACACATCCATTTTTCATATCGACACATCCAACTCAATTTTGAAGCTTGTAGCCTCTGAAAGGCTCAGGTCGACACATGCATTTCATAGATCAACACATACTGAAGCATTTCTGAAATTGCAGAAATTCTTATTTTATGTGTCGACACATACAATTTATAGGTCGACACATTTGTTATTGTTTTAAAGCTTGTAGCTTCTAACTTATTTCGGTAGACACATATCTTCTTTCAGGTCGACACATACAGCCTAAATATAATGTATGTTTCGATACATACTATATATAGGTCGACACATTCTGATTGCTTTGGTCAATTTTGTAAATTTCTTTAATTCCGAATAAGTCCTTTTTGCCCTAAATTTCCAAAACTATAAATACATCATTCATAACTTGATGGTACCATACAATTAGCCTACATTTTCTCTTCATCTTCAACATTCAATCTATGCATACACATTAACATTCCATTGTAACGATCTTCTGTTGGAGTGCCATCTAGACAAGGTTTGATAATGTTTGATTAGGTTCTTGTGTAGCTGACGATATTGGGTTATTTGTAGGGATTTTCATCCAGATAGTCAATTGGCGTGTATTGTATCTTGGTCTTTCTCAAGATCAAAAGAGGACAAGGGGTTGAATCAACAACAAGCTTAGGGTTTGTGTTGTTTCTCTTGAACGTTTCTCTTGTATCAACTTTTTTGTATAGTAAAAACAATCCTAATTCTATTGGAATTAGGCGCAGATGTACCTACACGCGAGGATGGAAGTGGAGAACTGTAAAGACAAATCATCGTATCTCTTTTCTTACTGCTTTTACTTACTTTAATATTCATCAATCAATTTGTCAAATAACATTGCGTTATCAATTGAATTGTAAGTAATTTTCCAAACTATTTTTTATTTACATAAAGTGTTGATATTGCTTATAATCACTTTTGATTATAAGTGATTTTGTGTATCAACATAACTTAAATAAAAATTTACTTTCACACCAAGTGTTTGACAAATTAATTTTGTTTGTTCTTTGAATATTGCCATTGAAAATAACTTTACGGGTAACTTGTTATAAATGTTAAATAAGTTGTAAAGTGATTCAAGCGTATTAACTCAATTGTCATTCTTATTCCATATTCTATTTTGTTTTTAAGTTTGCATATCCAAGTTTCCAATAATGTCTATAAAGACAACTTATTTTGAAAAGCTCTTCTGCTCAAACTCTTAGAAAACTAATTTTTCAAAACCAGAATTTTCTAGAATTTTAATTGGGTATCTATTCACCCCCCTCTAGATAAATTGTCATCGTCTAACAGCTACACAATATTGTAGCTATCGTACCTCACCAAATAAACCATGCCTTGTTATATCTAACAAGAACTTGAGGCATCAACCAGATCAGCAAAACCTGCCAAAACCTCACCATCTGCAACTCAGATCATGACCTGCAATTAGCATAGAAAAAAACCCATTATTTGTATTTTTATTAATTTTCTTTAATTGTTCAACATTTTATTCTTTAATACTTTACTTGCATGATTTTTGTTTTCTCTTATAAAATGTGACATAAAAAATTGAGGAACATGTTGGTAATGATTTTAGAATATTTCCCTTAATTTTTGTTCACAAAAATGCCTTTAATTCTCTTAGACTTTCATGTGAGTATTTTTACAGTATTTAGCATTGTTTCTTGATCAATTCTTGTCCATATTTTTGTGCCATTATCATGCATAATTTTTATGCATCATACTAATATTATGTGTTAATTATGAGGTACTACTTTGAACTCCTTGGACCATACTTTTGGATATTTACCAATTATTATAAGTTGTTTTACTTTTATCGCTTTAATTTCGCTTCAAAATTTATTTGAATATTGTAACAAGTAGTAAGTGCTCCATCCCTCTAAGATGGGAAAATTGTACCCCCTCCCCATGAACAATGTAATAGCATAGGATGTGTGCTTGTATGATTGAATACTTGTATGAGATGCATGCTAAAAAAAAGATAAAATCAAACAAGTAGAAAACAATTTCAAAACCAAAGATAAAACAAAAGCTTGGTCCAATGCCAAGCTATTTTCAAAAACAAGTAATTGAATTATTTTCTCTCACCTACCTCTTTAGGATTCCTATATACATATCCCTCATATTACCCGTAAGTCGAATGCTTAGGCATTCACAACCGACCCTCAACAATTCTTCATCACTACTCCACCATCATAAAACAACTAAGCAAGCATTGTATGTCTTTGTCCATAAGTCGATGTGCTTAGTCTTATCGCAACCGACCTACCTTTACCTAATTCACCTCCCTTCACGTCTTTCCACGCATTTCATGCATTCATCTTTATTCACAACTTAAAACTAAAACCTTGGTCCTTGTACCAAGTGATCTTTTTCAAACTATTTTTTCAATAAACTTGGAATGGTCATGGAATAGTTAGGCGAAGACCTTGTCCTCTCCTAAGGATTCAATATTACCTTTAGAGGTTGTTATCTAAACACTTGCCTTCCAAAGTAAAACATATCCTTAATAACACTAGTAATGTTCTCCCCGTATTAGACTAAAAAGATGGTTGGATGTAGACGCATTATTCTTTCAAGTGCTTGATGCTCACTTTAGCGTGTGTGATCTAAGTACTTGTCTTTCAATACGAGGAACATGACTATACTCACCACACATCTTTTCAAAGCAAATCTTTTAGAGTTGTAAGGAATTGAGTATTACCTGTAAAGGTTATTATTCAAGGACATACCTCCACCCTAAAACCAATCCAACAAATCAAACATGGCACCTTGCCTTGAGAACATAACTCAAAACTTTTCAGAAAAAGGGCATGTTATTTCCATTCTACCGCAACACAGGTTAAAGCATCAGTCTCTACACGTGCGAGCCACAAAACCTAATGCTAGAACGTGAATGTTAACATTGTCTATAAAAAACACAAACAAATAATAATTTTCTAGCCGAACTACGACGCTCTGATTCTTCATTTCACAATGGAGATACGTAGACACGAGATTGCGAATCCGAGGCGAGCACACTAATTTAAAATTATTTTTCTCCCTAATAAAGCAATCATAACAAGTATAATTACTTAGCAACATCCTTACACATAAGACAAGTGAATATGGTTCTCATTAGTACAATGGATACGGGGGGTGTTAATATCTTCCCCTTGCATAACCGACTCTTGGACCCTTATCTTGGTCGCAAGACTATCTTATCTTTTCTTTTGGGGTTTTCTCGATGTTTCCCCTTCCCTTTGAGATAAATAAAATTTGATGACGACTTTGTGTTTTTTTTCACTGCGCGACTAATATTAACACCCTTACCCTATTCATGAACACTTTTGACATCATATAGCATGCCAAAAACAGACCTATACTTGAGTAGAGGGATTTATCTGTTAGAAGGCCACATATAGTTGTCACAATTTCCTTGCCATTGCTCCTAAGTCTAGAAGTGAGAACAACAAAAATATAAAAAAGGATAATGGTAACAATCAGTGTAATCACAAGAATAAGCCTATTGATTCCGAGAATCAAAGAAGAGCCAAAGATAATATAAAGGATAATTATCTGAAGAAAGATATCTCAAGCTACAGAAATCTCAATACCAATAGTCATCCTCAAAAAACCTGATCAATAACAAAAGCAACAATATAAAGGTAACAAAAATTAAAAACTACATCAGAAATATGCAAAAAGAGAGAAGAATCGGGAGAAATACTTATATAGAAATATTAATAATACTAATTCTGGGGAACCTAACAAGATGCATCAAAGCAACAATAATGTTATTCAAACTCTCTAACAACACAACTATTTGATCAAGTACAATTAAAGATAGAAAAGAAAAAACATAAAAATTACCAAATGTAAACAAATTTACCGTTTGATTCTAATTGCAATGTGATCAGAAGGGAGATAGACCTAGATTCACAAAGAGATCTTGGTAGTGGGATAATCTTTGATAAAGATACAGAAAGGTCGAAGAAGAAGCGTAGAGAATTCAAAGAAACAACATTCAAATACATTTCTTGTTGAATAATGAAACAACTCATATGATTAGGGTTTCGGGTTTTTCGAATTGTAAAATTGGAACTAGTAAGACTCTAACAGGCCGAAGACCCAAAATCGAAAAACTGATTATTTATTAATTTAGTTTTCATTAAAAAAAATGATAAAATTCTTTTTTGACAAATGATACTATAATGAGAGTTAATAGCCAATCAACGACTTTAACTATAGCAAGTGCGTGACTCAAAAAAAAAGAAAAAAACTATAGCAAGTGCGTGCTGGCAGGAGTGAAGAGTGCATTCTAGTCTAATCAAAGCCGAACTCTTCGTAAACTTCTATTTCATTTTCATTATCACATTTCGGACATTGCGTGACTTATGCTATACTTCCTCTTTTCTATTAGTACCAAATTTCCAGTTCTATTAAATCTTATTCCTTACTTCAAAACATATTCACTTCTACTTTTCCTATCCATTTTCGAATGCAACATAACATAGTAACAGTAACAATTTAACTATACAGCATGCAAGAAAAATATCAAATGATCATATCTCAAACAAATTTTCCTTAATTACATCACACCAAAGTATTAGCCAAAACCCAAAAACCATTAATACATTTCAGAATCTCAAATAATAAAAATTTAATTAAGAGACATGCAAATAATTTCTTTTATTTTTACAACCTGTAAATAATAAGAAAACACGGTAATACCGCACGCGTATCAAACACCAACAACTCGCCATTATCCCCACTCACTGAGTCAAACCCCACTCGCTTATCCAATAACGAGTTCAAATACCCGAGTTGCTTCAAAACCCGACCCGCTACAACCCGACACACCAGCATCGCCCATCTACCCTCCCCTCCACCGCCATTCTCGTGCGCACAACCACTCCCGGAAAACGTCCGTATCGCCGTCCCCTTCCTCTCCGGAAAAGACCAACCACCGTGAGACCCACCGTCTTCAGCAGGACCCAAACAATAAAACTGCATCACCTCATTTCCATCCGCAACACACCTCGCATTTTCCTCCCAATTCTTACCCTCAGATAAAGAACCACCACGTGCTTTCACCGCCTCACGAAACTCTTCAAACCGCGACATTGTCAGTCCTACATTCTCCACCTTGAATATCATTTCAACCCGACCCGGAAAATCCTTCTCACCCCAACTAGTATGAAATATGATTTCCACCACGTTACGTGAAGGATGTCCCTCCGAAAGTTCAGTGATTGCACGGGAAGATGAACATGAACTACTTGTAACGGTGCTTCGGGAACGGTTCATGGTGGGGACTTCTGGTTTGACGGTGGTTACGGGCTTGGGTTTTTTGGGCTTGGGCTTTGGAATATCAACGATATCTTTGATAATTTGAAGGCTTTTTCTACAACTAGCACTGGGTAAGAGAATCTTCGGGTATGGATGGTAAACATCTTCAAATGTTCTTGATTTGCATTGCAATGACTTCATCCACCCACTTGCCATAATACTAAATTTTTATTTCTTTCTCTCTACATAGAATTTATACTTTATAGTAACTTTTGTTTCAGTGCGTTTTTATATTTAGTTGAAGAAGTAGAAGAAAAGTATGGTGTGAAATGAAAGAGACATTGATTGCAAAAACGGAAATAACTCGTCGTTTTTTTATTTAACTTCTTTTGCGTTACGAAATTAATGATGTTTGCTAGGATTTCTAAATTGACACGTGGATTTGAGTGGGATTCGCCACGTGGATTAGGTCGGGGGTCAACATTTTATGAACTTATCCGGACATAAACAGACACGCATGGAGAATTGACTGGAATATTTTATCATCTTGCTCGTCTCTTTTTTATAAACTTACTCTCTCCGTCTATGGATGACGACGGAGTAGAATGGAGACGCGTTTAAACTCATTCAAATTTGCATCGGTTACTTAAGTTCAGATTAGTGCTTAAATTCGATTGGAGCTAATATTTATTTTCCTGTTTTCGTATTCAACAATTTGGTTTTTCTGCATATGTTTCACATTCGTTTGAATAAAATTTTAATTTTTTTTAAATTTATATATTTTTAATAAAAATAAAAATCAATAATTAAATTAAATAATTAGTTATTTTTAAAATATTTTTACCTTTAATATTTTTATTTAGATTATATTTTTTAAAAATAATAATTTTAATAAATATAATATTATAATATTAAAAAGTATAAATAAATAATAAAACTATTAAAATAAATATAATATATTAAATTTAGTTGGCGGGTGTCGAGCGGATGTCGATATTGGACGGATACTAGCATTAGCTGTCTCTATATCCACACCCGTAAATAAAAATTGAATGTTCTGCGCCTCCATTTTTCGATTACACCAGATTTTCTCTGCTAATTTTGAAATGGAGGTGATTGGAAGCGAGCAAAGACGAATTCATTTGTCATGTCTACCTCCTTCCTAAAATATAAAAGAGAAAAATAAAAACACATTTATTAAGAAAAAGAAAAACATAATCATTTCATTTTTTAATTATTTTTTTTAAAATAAAATATTTAAAAAGATGTAAAAATAATTTTAATTGATTGTTGGTTATAAAAATGATGATAGAGAAGATAAATTAAATGGAATTTATATTTAATTTTATCTTTAAAGAAATAAAAGATTATTTTTTTCTTTTATATTTTAAGATAAGAAAATGTGTTTTTTCTCTTATATTTTATAATGAAGGGAGCACATTTTTTATTTAGTTTTTAAATAATATAAAAAATAATTAATGTGTGCAATTAATATTAATTATTGTATTTTATACTACTTTCTTTTTTAAATATAAAATCTTGTTGAGTAAATTATCAGATTAAAAAAGTTTGTTAAGATAATAAATTTATTAATTATTTTATATAACTTTATATATTTATCTTTAAAAAAGAGAAATAGTTAATATATATACATAAGTAAATTTTGTTTTTTAAATTTATTTAATAATTAATATATTTGATATATATATATATATATATATATATATATATATATATATATATATATATATATATATATATATATATATATATATATATATATATATATATATATATATATATATATATATATATATATATATATATATATATATATATATATATATATATATATATATATATATATATATATATATATATATATATATATATATATATATATATATATTAGATAAATTAATTATCTAATAAATTTAAAAAATAAAATTTATTGAAAACAATATGTAATTATATTTATTATAGATTGTAGACAAATATATAATATAATTAAAAATATATTTTTTAAAAATAATTAATATACTTTAAAAGTTAAAAAAAATCTTATAAAAAAATTCAAAAATATCTTATAACTAAGAACGGAGAAAAGTACTGGTTTAAAATTGATGGTGGGATATATGCTTTTGTATTAGATGAATTTTACACGGTTAATTGCACGTGAGACTTTTAAAAATTTGCATAAAAAATAAATATATTTAATAATTGAATATCTAACGTTTTTTTTTTGAAAAAAGAAACTTATTTTTAACCGTTTGGATGAAATGAAAAACGGCAATTCAAAACTTTTAAAGTTTAAACAACCAAACTGTATGCAATGCCAATTCCCAATTCCACCCGTTAAATATCGCTTTCAGTTTTATTTTTGTCTCCATCTCTTCTTCATTTGAATCTATAGAATATTGCAATATAATTTTATGGTCAAACTATTTTTTCTACAACTTTTATTGAACAAAATCTCCAATTAGCTAGATTTAATTTATTTTTTTACAACAAGGAATATATTATTAGATTAGAATATAAGGGTACTCTTGTATAATAATAACGAAAATTTAATTATATAAAAAAAATTGCAAACCAACATCAACTATGAAGATAACTTAATAGAGCTACACAAAAGTCATATAAATTACAATTGAAATTTGAAAGTTCCCCTATTATGCTCCATATTCAAGCCTCGACTTAATGTGATATGACAAAAAAAAATTGTGATAATTGAATGAGTAACTCTGGTCGAATTCAATACTAGATTCTTAGACATTTATCATATTATGCATGATAGAAAAATTCCATCTAAGTCACTCATGTCTTTCAACATGATTTGCGAAGCACCCATCAACTGTCTTTATAATCGTCTAGTTACAGACAATATTTGATCAACAATAAAGTTCTCGACTCCACATCTAGTTTACATAGTGGTTTCAGGTTGAAGGGTGATATACACCATTATCACCATGAGAATAACTCATGACACTTTGCATAATATTTTATGTAGCATTCTCATAGCGGGTCAATTCAGTTTAAATATTACTCCTAATATTCATACCGTTTGATAACTATTTATCCATGATCCTTGAGATGTGATCATCGATTTATCCTCATAATAGTCTCAATGTTTTAATGTTATTTGACTTCATAGTAAAGCTCGACTACAAATATTTTAAGAATAATGTTCTTATATCTAATGAGATCTCATGACTAAGTCACGTTTAACATTTCATTAAATAAACTATCTATTCTAGGGATTGTATTATTTTGGAAATACAAACATTATAAATGTATTTTAATTATTGTTCTTGCGAAAAACACTAAACTGGGTAACTTCCTTGTAGGGACAAGGAGAGTCGCAATATATGATGATTTTGGGGGATTTGAGTGGCACGAAGGTGTTCATATGCACTCAACAGTATATGTCTTGCTTATCCCTCTGGCGGGAGCCCCTTTATATAGTCCTTGGTCTAATTGCTATTTAAACCATCTTGTAACATTCGTAACCGTCCATCAATGACTTGTAATGTATCCCATATATATTTGTAACATTTGTCTCATCATTAGGCCATAGTTACGACTTTTACTCTCATCGGATTCGACTTCCAGCAAATCGATTTTATTGTACCGAGCTCATGCCCGGTAGTTTAATCAATGTCGGTCCCGGGTCATATCCCGACTTGTCTCCCACTGCTTCATACCCGAGTGTTGTACCCCAAAATTTTCCCTCTCATTTATCAAGACTTTTCTCACAAGATTTCTTTGACTCAAGACTGAATTATGGTTTGGTCAGCTCAAGACATCTCATCATACACTGATGACCAAAAATTAGGGTTTGAGGTTGCACAAGGATTTTTGGACTATCAATGCTTCATGTGACTTTCAAACATTATTATGGATCCATAAGATCACTCAGGACAAGTTTCAAGCTTTAAACCATATTTTTTATCAGACAATTGGACAGCTGGCCTAAAAATCAGTTGTATTGGGGAAAAGTCAACTATGGCCAATTTACAGTCAAACTTCATAATTTTTTATCCACAACAACATTTTAAACTTATATGTATCATTTGGTCAAGTTTGGATCACAATTCCTCAAGAAATTTGATCAAATCACCTAAAGGGCAAAATGGTCAAAAATTAGGGTTTTGACTAAGGAAGGGCAATTTCTGATTTTTAACCTAGCAAATGACCAATTGAGTTAAAGCATGATTTCAAGGATTCAATTGCATCATCTTGACCTAATGGCATGGTTCAAAACATTGCAATTTCATTGGATTGACAGATGAAATTTGCAGTCAACTAATCAAAAGTCAACTGTACACTGAAAAGTCAAACTTTGACTTTTTGGTCAAAATCAAGCGCCAAGGATCATAATTCATCAAAACATGTCAAAATGTGAAACTTGTTCATCAAGAAATCCAAGTTTGAAGATTAGGGTTTGAATTTGGAATTTTTCTTAACTTAGAAAATTTTCTAAGTATAGAAAATTTCTTATTTTTTCTCAACTTTGGGCCATTTTTTCACCATGATTCATAATGATTCAAAGAAAGTTCCCAACATGAAAGTTGTAGACCTCCATGAAATCTACAACTTTTCTTCACACACTTTTCCCTAAATATACTTGGATCTTAAGATATAAATTTATGAATACATACTCATGAACTAAATAACTTAGTGAAATTTTGCCCGAATTTAGGCAGGTTTTGGACCCAACTTCATGGCAATTTTTCACCTAGTTCCAAGAGGTATCTCAAAATGAATTTCAAATATGAGTTATAGAGAACATTTCAAGCTTTCCAAAATGTCCAATAACTCCCAAAGATCATTTTTGAGTAGGGAGAATAGAAGAGATGAAGTTGGAAATTTCTCACTTTTTGTCCAAGCCATTTCATGAAGAACAAAGTTCCAATCAGTACCTATGCTGCCTAATCCATGCTTTACAGGTCCCAAACTTGTTCCTTACTCCTTAATTTAATGCTTACTCAGTTGATAAATCTTTGATCAAATCTCTAGAGCCATTACCAAGTTGCAATTCTATAAATGGCATAAAGTGACCATTGCCATTTTGAAAAAGCTCAACTTTTCCCACTTTCCAATTCTTGAGCATTGCACATGTCTCCATTGCACATACAAATCTTATAGGCCTAAAGCAAGTTGTACAAGTTTATACCAACCTTAAGAAAGCAAGTACAAGCATGATAAGCCTTGTC